TGTCATTATCATTTTTAGATGTCGCTGCAGCGAAGAAAGTGGTCCGGGTAAGGAGTATTCGTGGCGAGTTGAAGGTTACTGTAGCGTGTGCCATGTGCAGTCTACAACATTCTACAAAGACTCAGCGGACATGATGCACTTTGAGCACACAGGCACAACCACGTCGCTGTAGGTGTTGCTACCAGTAGCCGTCTTTCGCAGGACATCCCCGAACCGGCCGAAGAAGGCACCACACCACAGCCTAAAAAGCAGCAGAACAAACACTGTATGCAGACAGGTAATATCCAGGCAACTGCAACATTGAAGCACCGGATAACAGAACAAATGGATGTCGAGACACCGGGAAAGCTTGGACACCAGGATTCAGAGACACACGACACATGTCATTCCGGGACACCATTGGATAGAAGTCGTAAGGCTGGGACTCCGCAACACCGAGATACCGTGACGGACCCTGCAGACACCAGAACATCGCGAAGCCGAGAAACGAAGACGCCAAGACAGAAATTACAAGTCTGGGACGGTGGACACACACACACACACACGGGACACAAGTTTCCACCTTGTCCAAAGCACTCTTGTCAGCCCGTGGCCTGTCTTTACTGTTTTTGCCAGCTCGGGGGCCTTCTGAGATGCGACTCGGATGCCGGAGAGGCATTGGGCATACCCCCGCCCTTGCCCCCTAATGCGTAGCGTCGTCGGCGGAGGAACCCTGCGACCAGGAAGGTACACTCACAGGCAGTCGCTCGCACACTCACAGGCACAGATAAGCACGCCCACACATTCACTTGTCATAATTTAAGTGCAGCAGCTCAAGCAGCACGGTTTCCAGTCCCACGGATGAGATGTCAGGTCTTAGCAACATCAGGACGAGCTTGGCTCCTAGTTGTGGCGGTTGCACGCGCAGACTGCAGCCCTGTGTCAGTTGCAACACACGCCTGGCGTCTTCTGTGATGAAGGTCATCGTCTTTGGTGGCTTCGACGGTTCGGCCGACCATCGCAGCACCGAGGTCCCGACTGCATCTGTTTCAGTGGTACCGGTGCTGTCAGATTTCTCAGATCCTGGACACCGCCAGCATGACCTTCTCCATGGGTCCGACAATGGGTGGTTCTCCAAGCCCTGCGTGCTCCAAGCTACGGGGGGATTCGGGTGCATGCTGTGAGTTCGAACGAGGCGTCGGCCGCAGCGGCTGTGCCGTCGCATCGTTGGACGAGAGAAGAGTCTTGGTGGCTGGTGGCTTCGATGGCTCCAGGACTGAGTAGGAGTCGCATGGTCGCTCCCTTTGCAAATGTATAAACGCTGCAAATGAATGCCAGGAGCCTTGACACCACCGAACTAGTGGATCCAGTGACGCTGAAGGCTCCACTGCTGCTGCCTTTGCCATCATCAGGCATGTGTAATGTCGTGTTGAGGTCAGTGCTGGTCCGAGAATGGGTACCAGGCCGTCACAGACAGCATGCCGCCCTGCCCGTTCTGAAAGTGTTAAGCAAGGCGCAATGCATGCGCTGCAGTGAGACTGGATGCGAAACGACTGCTCGTGGCTTGGCAGCAGCCGGCGAAGTACGAGCTCAGTACCGCGTGACCTTGACGACAGGTTATCGGTGGTTCGGATGATGCCAGCGAGCTGGACTCCACCGAGGACCTGTCCTCGGAGATTCGTTCAATGAAAGAGCAGGTCAACAGGGTCCTTCCTTGAAGCGAGCCTTAAGGTGCTCGATCTGGAGAAGATGACCTTCTCCAGTGGACCTAGGATGGGAACCCGCGCTCGCCTCGGCTCTTGCGACATGTCGGAATGTGAGGATTACGGTATGTCTTTACCTGAAAGACCTGCTCCCGCACCAGCAGGTCGCAATGCCTGTGCTGCGTCCTTGATCGACAGCCAGCGCTTGCTGGTAATTGGCGGTTCCGACGGCGGCAGCGATCTGGAGCAGCTGTTTGCCCATTGCACCATTCCAAACTGCCATTGACTCCGACGCTCTGTTTCAATTTTTTCCATTCTGTTTACCACGGCGCGATGCCAAAGTCTGGCAGGACAGCACCGAGCTGCTGGATCTGGGTTCAATGACTTTCTCTGCTGGGCTGGGCTCTTGGTATCGCGCAGCATCTCGCTCTCCTGCACATTCTCCCTTCACATGGCCTCAGCTGGAGCACACTGTGACATACCAGCGGGTGTTGCTGCTGTGTTTCCATTTCGTCTGTTTCGTCTGGGGGTGGTGCTGTGCGAGGAAGTGTAGATTCTGGCATCCTGCCAGATGACCAGAGAATTGCTCTTGACAGACCCCGGATGAGCACTCGCAGAAACTTCTGCGCGACAGCGCTCCTCCAGCCGGGCACAAGCGTCAAGCTCAGACTGCAGTATGCCAGATCGTTGTACGCGCCTCATCGTGCCTCCAATCGTGACTCCACGCAAACGCGACAGGTACGGCGCCGAGGGGCTTGCTGCTGGTCCTGGGCGGCTCTGATGGTTCGAGCAGTTTGGACAGCACCGAGGCGAGAGGGGAAGGGCAGGTTTTCCGGATCTTGTATCATCTCTCGTAGTACCTCCGAAGAATGCAGCGACCCCAGCGACCCAACAATGCTGTGCTTTTGTTCGCTCGAGTTTCTCTGCAATCACAAGAGTCTGAGCTTCACCGGGAGAATCGGAGCACGCTATTCTCGAACCTCACGATTTTGCATCCTCTTCCCCCGTCGTCCGGCGAGGACCATGCCATCTCTTTTGCCTGTATCCACTTGGTGTGTGTGTGTGTGTGTCTGGGGATAGGTGGGTACGCATGGGATCCGGCGCGCGTGTACAGACGACAGGAAGCTGATGCACATGTCTGGGGTGCATACTCTTTGTATTTGAGAAAGTGTTGCTCCGAAAGCGAAAGGCCTCGCATAGGCGGCTGGCAAGGGGCAGCGAGAACGGCCGGGCTCACTGAGCATCGCTGCGCGTCACGCACACCATTTCTCAAATGATGCAATTGGGATCGCGGATGTGGTGGTCCTTTCAATTCATCTCGACAGTTAAAGGAAGTGCATGAAGCGCATGGGCTTTGACGGTTCTCTCCGAGTCGGACACGGCTCCAGCTGCGACTTTCCACGAACTTCTCCCGTGTAGCAGGTGCTTGACGTTTCGAAGATGTCCTTCCAGCCGGCCCCCCTACAGGGCTCAGTCGGCTCAGTACCCCTTTGAGTCCGTGTTTCTGTGTCAAAGGCCGGGCCCAAACATGGGCACTTGGCGAAGCGGCTGCGCAGCCGGCGCCTCAAAACGGGCCAGTGAAGTGCACTTCGCAGCTGGGATATGGTGGCCCAGGCCGCGACTCTGAGCTCCGAGCAGCTGCTGGTGGTGGGCGGCTTTGATGGCTCCAACCACCTGGACAGCACGGAGGTCTTGGACGCTCCTAAGCCCGCACTAAAAAAATGCTCACTGCATGGTGGGGGATTTGTCACATTTTGTCGCATCCCCAAAGGTGAAGCACATGTCTTTCACGTTGGGGCCACGCCTGAGCACTTGGCGGAGTGGTTGTGCCGCGGCCCGAGTCGAGCCGAAGCGAATTTAGGCTCTGGAGAAGGCGATGCCGTAGAGTTGCGGCTGCAGTTGCACTGTATTTGCACTGTCGTGCATGCCAGGCTTCAGCCCCTTGCTGATGGCTAGTCGAGGACAGTGCAGGAGCATTTCGTGCCGGTGCCATACACAAAGCCAAATGCCTGGCGCTGGAAGCAGCTTCTGGTCTGTTCGTAGGCTTTCTCATCGAATTCGGCTGAAAATCTAATTTAATGAAGATTTCCAGATTGCAAAGAAGGCTGGCGCCACGATTTGCCAACTCACTTTCACTCGGTCAAGCTCTGCAGCACATGCCACAGCCTCCTTTGCTTGGCGCACGATTAACGCTCGCAGAGGGGCTTGCAAGTTGTCGGACACAAAGACGTGGGAGACAATCTGTAGACAGGATGTTCTCCTTGGCAGTGACAGGCAGACTGTGCAGTATCCTTACACAATGTATTCTTCTTGGGCTCGGAGCTGTGACAAGAGCCCGCTTCTAGCGCCGGCTCTGCCGCGCATGCTGCGCCCTGGTGCCTTGGCCTGGGCCCACGGCATGCAGGCGGCAGATGAGCGATGCCAAGCATAGCCAAGTTCAGCTGTAATCTATATGGCATTTGATGCAGCCAGCTTTCGCAGGTGCGGCTACGGCTTTGTGCACTGGGACTTCTGTTGGTGCACACGGATGTCCGAAACTCAAGCTTGGCCGTTCTCGTGTGCTGCAGGGTGGAGCTCAATGCAGGTGCATGAATTGCTCATTCCATCTCATTCCTTCCAAGGCCGAGTCGTCAAAGTTGACCATTGGCAGCAGTCCTTTCTCAAACATAAAATGCGCAAGCCACTCAGAAAGCCGGTTGCATGAACAGATTTCAGACCCACCGGGGGCCAAGTTGTGAAGTTGCAGGCTCAACGGTGTGTAGTTTTCGTCAGGTCAAGCCGCAATTAGGGCATCACTGCCCTCCAGAGGTAACGCAGGCAGCTGCCCTTTGTCTCCCTGCATGTATCCTCCATGTGGTGGCATTTCCCGCTCAGGAAGATTCTGCAGGGAAAACGGTGCGGTGCTTCCCCCAGCTGCTGTTTTGTTATACTAGGGTGCAAGAAACTGAATGACACTTTGCCGAAGGTTCAAGATTTTCCATGATAACGATGGCATGCTTTGCACTACCACCCTCGACCCGTGGAAGTTCGACTTGGCCGGCTGCTCAGGGAATCTGGAGGCATAATGACATCAACCTGAATCAGGTCAGGCTTTGTTTCTATTTCCCCGTCCCTGCACTTGGTGCAGCCTGCTGTGCCGAGAGATTTGAGCCTCGAGACTGAGCACGATGGGCTGTGCAAGCTTTGCATCCTTCAGGGTAGGTCTCAAGACCTCAGGTCTTCAGCAGTCACTGGTTTGTAAGGCGTGCGACCATGCTACAGAGTTCGTGTAGGAGTGAAGTCTTCACGAACATAATGTCCTCCACAGATGGAAGGAAGATGGTGCGGTTCAGCGTGGTGTCGTTTGCTCCGCCTGGCAGCTCACTGGCTGTGATTGGAAGCAGCGCATCTCTCGGAAAATGGAGCTTGGAGAAGGCCGTGACCATGAAACCACGCTTGGCAAATGCCCGGCTGCAATCCGAGCCTGATTTTCACTGGGCGGATGTTGACATCCCCGAAGCCGGCAGCGAACGTATCGAGTACAAGTTCGTGGAGCGCGGGAGCGACGGTGTCAAGTGGGAGGAGCTGGGAGGTCACCAAAACCGCGTCCTGGAACTCGAAACCCAAGAAGATGGACAAGCTATCCTTCTGCCGGTCGTGCGGTTTGCAGAGCCTGGCGGCGGGGAGAGCGATCACACGGCGCGGTTTTATCAGGGGGTAAAGGAGCGTGGCGAGATATCCATTCGGAAGGTGCTGGACCAGCTCTTTGTGGGTTCATGCCCCAGGCATCGCTCGCACATAGACCAGTTGAAGTCCCTCGGCATCTCAGTAGTGGTGAACTTTCAGACTGAGGAGGATTGCAAGCGTAATTGTGTTTCTGGCATTGGCATGGAGGAGGATCCAATGGCGGTGAGCCGTATTTACGACAGCAAAGGCATGCAATACATCTGGATGCCGACGTTTGACATGTCCACTGACGGTCGTGCACAAATGCTGCCGCAAGCATCGTTTCTGTTCGGTCAGCTTATCCGTAGAGGGCATACAGTCTACAGTCACTGCAACGCGGGCGTGGGTCGGAGTGTGGCAGCTGCATGCGGCTATTTGACCTTCTTCTTGGGCCTCTCGCTACGGCAGATGCAACACGTGATGGCAAGCTCTCGGCCTGTGGCGTACTTCGATTTCGAGGCCATGGAGAGAGCTCGACCCCATTATCAAGCCTTATTCGGCGTTGAAGAGTTTCTGGAGAAGGATGGTAAGTGCAAGGACATGCGCATTTCGTTTGAGTGTATGACTTGCGTGCATAGGATCATGGAGGCAGGGTCGGGTAGGCTTAGAGGCTTAGTGATTTGCTTTGACCCTTTCGAAACATCCGTCTGAGCACAGACAGCCGAGTGTCCAAGGAGGAGGCGCTGGCACTCCTGTGATGGGCTTTGCCGTCGAACTTTCTCCCCAACATGTGCAAGGCAGTGAAAGCTTCATTGGTTCAAGAGAAAGCCGGTCCGGCGAGGAAAACGCGATGCTCAGAGTTCTTGTAGAGACCTCTGTGAATAAATTGCACATCTGCGAAGTCCCCAGTCCCGTCCTTGCTGCCCCAGTCCTTAGATGGAAAAGGTCGTGGACTGTGGTCACAGCCCTGAAGCGGCAGTAGCTTGGCTTCTTTTATTGCCGCAGCAGTGCACAGGGCCTTGGCATGTTTCTGGGTCCAGGTTGCAAAAGTGGATGACGATGTATGGACACACACTCCGTGAGGTGACACACTCTGAGAGCCATCACTGGCATTTCAGTAGCCACGAGGCAGGGCTCACAGCACTGTTGCATGTAAGCTGTGTTGGAGAAGAGTGTCGACCAGACTGCTGCCCATAGGGTGGATCCTCTACCCACCACGCAGAGTTCCACTCGGAGGAGTGCTTCTGCATCGCTTCGCGTTGTTTGAACATCTGCCATAGCCCTCTGAACGACAACACCGACGCTTATGCCACGGGTGAAGCTGTGAAAGGAGAGGCAGTGCATCAGTGCATGGTAGTGTTACCTTGATCGAAAAAGAAAGCTGCAGGGCAGCTCCTCGTCCTCCAGCTTCAGTAGTTCGATGCACCTGGGGCAGCTGGAGGCAGACACCGGTGCACCTTCTTCATAGAGCCATGGTTCATGATAGGGGGGCGAGTTCCCGGTGACGGGTCTTTGGCAGTGACCGCCTGGGGCACTCAGCACAGGGGGCATCGGTGTCGAAGTCTGGCGCACATCTGGGCCTGCCCGAAGCGCAGGACACCAGTCTTATACAGAATACGCCATGTCTGCCATGCTCGTAGATGCTTTGCTGTTTAGGACTTGGGCGGCATCAGCGAAGTGAAGCTAGTCATTGGCAGCAGCCATGATGCAAACTTCAAGTGTGTCTGCTCCTCAGCCAGCTGGGAGTGGAATTTCTTGAACCCCCTAAACGTTGACTTACCATTCCGCCGGCCCTGACTGTGCCAGGTCAAAACACCAATTCGTCTGGACTGTCCTCGTACTGCCAGTCAGGCGGGGTCACTTGAAAGCACTGCGAACTCAGACCCGCGCTGTCGTCTGGAGATGCGACCCCGCAGCACATCGTGACCAGGCACACAGCTATGGCAAGCACCCTGACCAGTACCTGCCTCAGGGGGGCAGCTTTGGCAGCGGGCGGTGTCAGTGCAACGGCTACAGCCGTAGTTGTAAAGCAGTCATCACGAGGAGACGAGCAGTAGAGAAAGTCATCATTATCTCGTCACTATGGCGGGCTGCAGCTTCGGCATCGTTGGTTTACACTTCGCACCTGTCAAGCAGATATGGGGCGACGGAAATATCAACAAATCCAACTTGGAAGATCTCGCCGGACAGCAGCATTTGTGATTGAGACGTCCTCGAAATTAGCACGACGCGCATGGAGGGCGGCTTTTTGCTCCGACTACTGGCCCCGCCGTGCTGGTCCCGGACGGTACTCCACATAGCCTGGATTAGAGGACGAGTCCCTTGCAGCCCGGCGCTGGTCCTTTGGGCCCTTTCCCCGATCGGGATGCTAGCGGTGTCCTCCCTAAGTTCTCCCAAGATCTCAACCTTTGTGGGGCCGGTGTGGCTCGTGTAGTCCCTCGATGTCCCTCGTGACCGCCATCGTCATCATCCCCTCGTCATCAGGCTTCGTCCTCCATGTGCCATGCGGCATGAGGATCGCAAGCGTGACCACGCCATGAACGTTGAGATGATCATCAATCTTGAAGATTGCGCGCACCGTACGAAGATCATGACTGCAATGCTGCCCACGATGCATGGAAGCGAACGATGACAATGAGATGACGAGGAAGGGAAGAGGGAGCCGGAAGGGTTAACGACGATGCACGAAAACAACGATGGTGGTGGCTGTGACGGCATGACCGATGATGATGGTGATGATGACGGTCATGATAATCATGACATCGGCGAAGGTGGTGATGATGACGATGCTGACATTGATGCTGGTGCTGCTGCTGGTGGTGATGGTGGGGGCAATGATGATGATGGTACTGCCCAAAAGCACTTCCACCTTCCGCCGCCAACACCACGACCAGCACCACAGGGCTCGCGACACGACACTCAACAGCACGAACGCCAGAGTCGTCAACAAAGTTCTGCATGCCTACTTCGAGAGTGTGCCGGTCCCTAGGTTCCACATCTACACAAACTCGCACGGTGAAGTCTGCGCCGAAAGAACGGACCATAGAGACCCTTGGGGGAGCAACTTGGTCCGGATCTCAGCTTCACACACCACATCACTCTCTTGGTAATCAATGGTGTTGAATCAGGTCGTGAACTGCAAGAAGGCGCGTGCAGTATGAGGAGCATGAGCGTAGCATGACTTTGTCCTTGGTGCGCAAGAGCTCCCTGCCGGTATTGCCAGATGGGTGTGGAGCACGCAAAAGACATGGCCATGCCCGAGTTTCAGGACGCCAGCGCCAAGGACACGCCTTTTTGCGTTCTTGGCACTAGAATGTTTGACGAAAGGCTTCGCAGCTCTTCCCTGGACTGGTGGCGATTCCGATTGGCAGCAGCCTTTCCTCTAGCAAGAAGTGCGTCTGAAGCCCAGCCTTGCCGGCATTTCAAAAAGTGACATGGCAACTCAATCCTTGGAGCTGTGAGGTGCGCGATCCTGGCCATGTCACTTGTGACAACCAAGCATCCGTGAAAGGGCGACATGACAAGTATCCAGATAAGTCAAGGTCTTACGACATGAAACTAACCGAGCTGAGCCTTCGTTTCGGCAGTGCCTAGCCTGGTGCTGAGGTTTGAGATTTCCCACGAGAAGGGCAAGATCTGCGCGACCCGCGTTGACTATGACAAGCCGTGGGGCCTGGATTTGGCATGAATCTCAGAGGATGTCGATGTGTGGGCAGCTTTGTCGAGTTCTCGGCTCTTTGTATTTCCTGGCCGTCTTTGTTCAGGTTTTGCACTGCCTGCCCGCGAAGGCCAGCGACCATCCAGCTGCTGTTTGGGTTGCATCCCTTTAGGAACAAGAAGTCCTTCGTGTGGCATACGTGCAGGGGAAGATAGCGGACATTGTGAGCGATCACGATTTCGTATACGAGGCCTGGCGGCTGAGATGACAAATTCGTGAAAAGCCTGCATTGTGTATGTGTGAGCTTCCAGAGGTCCACGACTTGCACGGTGGGAGCAAATCCGTGGAAGAGGCCTGCGCCCATCCTGGCTGCATAGTGCTTTACCACTCCGGACGTACCAAGCCTGGCGAGCTGTCACACTGTCCTTTCCCAGGCTTTGAAGGCGCTTGCGGGTGGCGTTGGCGCTGGAGGCGCTGGAGGTAGTGTTGGCAGGATGCAGATCGAAATCGGAAGCAGCCCCGACTCTTCCACGAAATGCGCCGTTGCCCCAGACCACGGGGAACGTTCCAAGAGTCGAAACCGCTGCTTCATCCAGGGGCGTCTCAGGTCCCAAGTCCCGGCGGTGTGACATGCGATGACGAAGCATCGCAAATCGCCCGCGACGCGAAGTGGCCAGACACGCCCGGAGCTCACGCCTTTTTAAGCGATTGACCGCCTTCGGCTTTTGATCCAATGTTCACAAAGCATTTGTGAAGACGCAACTCTGAGGTTCCATGTGTATCACCATGGGGATCAGATCTGTGCACATCGTACAGACTACGACAAACCATGGGGGCTCCACTTGGCCGAGCCCTCAGCACCCGGCTTGTAGGTGACAGCTGTCACTTGGCGTCGTGGAGGTGCTTCACTGCCACCATCATGGACACACATCGCATGTGACTCTCTCGGATAGCCGCATCCGTCGGGTGTGGTCGATGCATGTTCTGTGCTTTTTGGGGGACTCGCACTGCAGGCAGCGGCATTCTCAGAGAGCCACAGCTCATTCGGAGGATCCTCTCACGGCAAATCCGTGGAAGAGGCCTGCGCCCATCCTGGCTGCATAGTGCTGTACCACTCCGGACGTACCAAGCCTGG